GAGAATGTGCCTTCTTCAGTGATTCTACAATATGTATGATACTAAAGCAGCACGAGTTGATTAAGGCTATAGCCCCAGCCAGCGATAAAGTGTAGCATTAACAGCGTAGCAAGTAAGTTAAGCGATTAAGCGATAGAAAAATGACAACACAAAACCTAACTCCTCCACTGTCGTTTGAGGTATATCGGGCAACTGAAAACACTGCCGCCTCTGCTGCCGCTTATGCTTATGTTCTCATTGGCCCTTATACACCCAACAACAACACAACACCAGTCGTGACATACGTAATGATCTATTTTATTCATTCTAGATGAATTGTGATAGATAAATAAGCCGTAGAGTTGATATTAGTGTCATATTGAAGGACTACCTTGGCCTGCCTCCAAACAAACTCTCCTGCCTCTCTCATATGCCAACAAGAGTCTTCAATAAAGGTAAAACTGTTATAAATGTTCATTTCTCCATTAAAATTAGTGCTTTATATTTATTTCTTCTAGGTAGTAGGTTGGCAGACAGCAACCGCCCAGGGAGGTACTACTGTCCTGAGAAGTGAGTGTAAAACGAAAGCCTGTAATTGTTTTACATGATGGTAGGATTGCTGGTGTCCTTTTTTCTGTCTCATAAACACGCAAAATTTCAGGTACGTCTTGCTACTTCTACTTACACTTAGGTCACACTACACATACATGTACAAGCATATAGTATGTACACACCCCTCTGGGTTTTCTGCTATTTTCTTTCTAGTTCTTGTTCTTGTTTATTTCCTCTTATCTCCATGGGGAAGTGGAACAGAATTATTCCTCCGTAAGCCATGCGTGTTGTAGGTGGCCCGGTGGCCTGGTAGCCAAAGCTCCCGCTTCACACACGGAGGGCCCGGGTTCGATTCCCGGCGGGTGGGAACATTCGACACGTTTCCTTACACCTGTTGTCCTGTTCACCTAGCAGCAAATAGGTACCTGGGTGTTAGTCGACTGGTGTGGGTCGCATCCTGGGGGACAAGATTAAGGACCCCAATGGAAATAAGTTAGACAGTCCTCGATGACGCACTGACTTTCTTGGGTTATCCTGGGTGGCTAACCCTCCGGGGTTAAAAATCCGAACGAAATCCTATCCTATCCTATCCTAAAATGCCGGGAGGGGCTAGTAACCCTTTCTTCTGTATAAATTACTAAATTTGAAAAGAGAAGCTTTTGTTTTTCTTTTTGGGCCACCCTGCCTCGGTGGGATACGGCCGGTTTGTTGAAAGAAAAGAATATTTATTTCTCATTGTTTTCTGTATGTAAAACTATAGTACAGTGGACCCCTGGTTTACGATCAGCTCCCAATGCGACCAATTATGTAAGTGTATTTATGTAAGTGCGTTTGTACGTGTATGTTTGGGGGTCTGAAATGGACTAATCTAATTCACAATATTCCTTATGGGAACAAATTTGGTCAGTACTGGCACCTGAACATACTTCTGGAATGAAATAATATCGTAAACCGGGGGTCCACTGTATTTATTCTTTAAAAATAGATTTTTTTGTGAATATTTTTGGGTGGAGCAGATTAATTAATTTACATTATTTCTTATGGAAAATATTGCTTTGATTTTAGGTCATTTCGACTTTAGGCCTAGCTCCTGGAACGGATTACAGCCGAAACTTGGGGTTCTACGGTATGTAGAGAAAGCTCACATTACTTGAAAGAGACTGGTCAAGAACCTCAAATTTCATAGTTGAAAACCACAAGTCACTAGATGTTCACTGCTCACTGTCTTGAGAGCTACTGAGGTGGGTGACTGATGCAGCTGGCTGCTTCACTCAGTTCCACACTGCAACCCCTCCACCCACCCATCTTTTGTCTTCACTATATTTTTCTTATTATCACCTTGTTTTGGCTCTGATTATTAACCATGGCATAGAACAGGAATAGTAGTAATACTGGAAGTGCTTAGAAGAGGAATAAGAGTAAAAATCTGAGTATTTTTAAAAGGAAAACAAGAAAATTTTGTGAAGAAATAATAGCCCCAGCCTATTATAGACATGCACTCTGGAAGGAGTGCATGCCCATTTTCTATGGAATATACAATAAATGTGTCAAACACATGCTTTCCCCAACAACTTGGCTTAGGTAAGTTTGTTTAATAAGTTATTTATTTAAGCTAAGGAACATATAGTACAATTTTTTTTTTTACAATGGTCTTGATAGCACACACGTTATGGACACACAAAAAGTACATTATGCAAATTTAACCTTAGATACCCAATTTAAGTTAAACATTTTACACGTTGAGTCTGAACCTCACTACATTCAACTAGGCCTAGTAGGGCAACATGAATCCTCACAACACATTTCTAGATCATCATGAAACAACATCTACAATGTAAATTGTTAAAAACATTATTAACCCTTTGACTGTTTCAGGCCCCTTTCTGAAACTGTCATTCTATGTCGCCAAATATTCAAAAAAGAAAGAATTATTTTTTCTTATGAAATGATAGAGAATCTTTTCCCGATGGTAATGACACCAAAAGTTTGAAATTTGGTCGAAAATTCACGGAATTACGCTCCTGCGAAGTTAGCGGAATTGGTGACATATGTGTATCGGCGATTTCGCCGACTTTGAGCCCTGTTTTCAGCCAATTTCGTTGTTCCAGTTGACCAAACTCATAGCTATTTCTTTAGAACTCCATTTTATCTATCAGCTGAGTACAAGAAACTGCCCATTTACCAATTTGAACTACCCAATATAGTGGTCAGAAATTGGCAATTTGGCCAATTTCACGCAAATTAAAAAAGATGCCAATTTCAAAATAGGGTCCAGAATAAACAAGGTAGACATTCTTGGCACTAAAATAGCATATCCTCTATTCATTAGTCACATCTCTAGGCCCCTCTTATATTATTATTGCTTTCTATTTTGATTTTTTATTCATACAAAAAAATACAAAATTTACTGTTATGCAGACTACTGCATTATTGTAAAAATGGTATAAATAATATCAGTGCACTAGTGAAAGAATATTAGACTTCCCAGTTGACGTGTATTGGACGTGTGGTGTGATTTGTTTACTCCTGAACATTGGTAAAAATCGAACATTTCCGCTAATTTGAGCTCAGTTTCAAGGTCGTTTTCATCGTCAAAGTAATGAAAATCATCTCTATTTCTGTAATATGTTTTCCATTTTATCACCTAAGACCATGAAAACACGAATACAACGATAAATACTATACGATCAGAGTTTTTTTTTTCTCATTACGCAATGTGTGCTGCAGGATTTTTTTTATGTGGTGCACACTGACCACACAGACCCATTCTCTCACATGTGGGCCTACCAGCTTTCTCCTGCTTGATTTGAAGCCGCTAGAATTATTGAGTATATATACGTCAGAAACATTGGCTCGTAAGACGTATTATACGTCGAAAACAGTCAAAGGGTTAATATTGACAATTTAGGAATTAAAAGAAAAAAACCTTGCATGTTTTTTTTTTAGAGGTGTCATAGCACATAACCCAAATTTTCCTAGTAGTTGCTTACTCCACTCTTAGTATTTTCCCTTTATAACTTCATTTTTCTGGAACCTAACTGGCATGAAAGATGGTTGTCTACTGTACATGTCACTTGTTTCTTCAAACATCAGTATATTTTTCCCAAAACCAGTCAGAAATAAAAACCTGAACAAGTTTAGAAGAACAAAATATGAAAACTTACATCTCTTGACAAAATTTAACCAAATAACTAGGAACCATCACACCTACAACAAATGACTATATACCAAATACATCATACACCAAACAACCCTATACCAAATTTTCAAGAAAATACCTTCACTTTCAACAGTTGATGTCTGTGGTGCTGTCACTGTCTTAGTTTTGTAGGACAAAAAATACATTTCTGTGCCAACCCAGTAGCTTAAAGATACAACACCACTTCCCCCCCCTATTCTTACCTGATTGCTAACTGGCAAGTCAAAGAGTGAGGCCATCTGCTAATGGGCTCTGGCATGGCAAGATTGGAGCAGCGAGTGGAACAGAGATTTAGGATGCTAACACCAAGCATGAAAATGAGTCAGCCCTTTTGAGACCTAGTGACAGGCAGACATGTCCTGGTCTTGTTTTAAGCAAGCTACTAGGCCCCAGTACAGTAATGAGTTTTTTCATCCTTCAAAACCATTTATTCTTACATGAAATATAACAATTATATTACTCTTTCCTAAAGTACTTCTCCTGCACCCAACACCATGTATGTGTACTTATGGCTACCTGCTGGAAGAAAGCATAAGAAATATTAAACTGTTACTGCATGCAATCCATGATTAAAGTAATCATTTCCTCTAGGTATTAAATCTTCTGGTTATCCCGCCTACTTTCTTGTATCCATCTGTTAATATCATCAATAAAATAACTTAAGAACAGTATAAAATAGTAGAATATTAAGCTGAAATTAATGTGTGTTACAGTCTCTCTTCTGGAGTGATGCAGCATCCTCAAGGATAAAGAAGGAATTAGTATGGCACGAGAAATAAAGTTGATAATTTTCAGTGGCATTAAAAGGAACAATATGCACTGGACTATTTCTCATTTGCAAGGTCTAAGTCCAATTCCAATGGCACCATAACATCCCACTGTATTTTATAAGAATAAAGCACATCAAATCACAAGCATATGCTTTAAGAATGGAAGGAAATATCTTTTCATCTCAGCACTTATCAGCTAAATTTATCAGAGAAAATATGTAATTAAATTAAATTCCTTAAGATAAACTAAAATAAACTGAATAAAGCTGCTAACTTAAAAAATCATTAATTAAATATATAGTGCTTAAATTTCACCACCAAATACTAACAATGTCTAATTGGACAGTCTGACATTATTTATTTTACAATAATCTTCAAACATTATGGTGTATGAAGTCTCATTAAAAATAATTATTTTGGTGATGAAAAATACTCAAGAGTTTGGATGTCACATTTCTAAAACAGGAAACATTAAACAGAAAAAAATATCAGTAACCTACGTTGGCACTCGTAGGGTTTGCCAGGAGTTTCTTCATCACCCTCTACTGGTGTTTTAGACTGCGCCTCCTTCTTCTTCCTTCCACGACTACTTGGAGTCTGAGAATGAAAAGAACTGAGATATGACTTGCTTTATGATACAAGTCTAACAGTGATAAACATTTTGTTACAGAAACAAGTATCAGTCAATCAGTGGAGGTGATCACAGGATTATATACAGGATTAACGCTTTCACTGTCTACCACATAGATCTACATTATTGAGACCATTGTCACAAAAATGTACAGCTTAATAACAGCACCCTCAAGTATGCTGCAAGTGGTAAATTTTGGCCTAAACTATAAAAAATACACAGGCATAACACAAGACACAAAACACTCTTTGACATCACTACTATCAGTTTCAAGTATGTAAAAATGCAATGCACATAAATGGCCTGAATTCACTGCCTGAACCAGCAAAAGGTACTCTGCCTGCAAATCAAAAAATTAAACAAACCAACACTATGCTAAACCATCTAACCAGTTTGAAGCAACGCAAAAAAAAAAAAAAATTACGACCTCTAATCTATTAAACCTTTTTTTTTAACACGTTGGCCATTCCCACCGAGGCAGGGTGACCCAAAAAGAAAGAAAAGTCAAAAAAAAGAAAGAAATAACCTTCATCATTCAACATTTTCACCATCACTCATACATAATCACTGTCTCTGCAGAGGCACTTAGATACGACAGTTTAGATGTCCCTCCAAACTGCCAATATCCCAAACCCCTCCTTTAACCCCTTGACTGTCGCAACCCCAAATCCTGAGGTGTCTCCTGGTGTCGCAAAATTTAAAAAAAAAAAAAAAATTATTTTTTCTAATGAAATGATAAAGAATCTTTTCCCAATTGTAATGACACCAAAAGAACGAAATTTGATGGAAAACTGACGGAATTACGCTCTCGTGAAGTTAGCGACCTCGGCAATATTCACGAATCGACGATTTCACCCACTTTGAGCCCTATTTTCGGATAATTCCATTGTTCCAGTCGACCAAACTCATAGCCATTTCTTTAGAACTCTATTTTTTCTATCAACTGAATACAAGAAACTGCCCATTTACCGATTTCAACTACCCAATAACGTGGTCAGAAATTTGCAATTTGGCTAATTTCACAAAAATTTAAAAATATGACAATTTCAAAATAGAGTCCAGAATGAACAATGCAGACATTCCTGGCTCTAAAATAACATTTTCTATGTTCATCAGTCACATCTCCAGGCCCCTCTGATATTACTCTTGCTTTCTATTCTGAATTTTTATTCAAACAAAAAATAAAAGATTTACTGTTATGCAGACTACTGCAATATTGTAATAATTGCATAAATAATGTCAACCCATTCATGACTGCATATTAGAATGGCTACTTGGACATTTATTGGAAAATGACATAATTTGTTTACTATTGAACATCGGCAAAAATCAAACATTTCCCCTACTTTGAGCTCCATTTCAAGGTTCTTTTCATAGAAAAACCAATCAAAATCACCTCTATTTCTATGATATGTTTTCCATTCTATCAAATGAGACCAAGAAAACAAGAATACAACCATAAATACTATACGAAAATAGACCACAAAGTCGGCATTTTAATTAAAAAAACAGTTGGAGTTTTTCTTTCTCATTATGCACTGTGTGCTGCAGGATTTTTTTATATGGTGCACACTGACCACACAGACCCATTCTCTCACATGTGGGCCTAACAGTTTTCTCCTGCTTGATTTGAAGCCGCTAGAATTTATGAGTATATATATGTCAAAAACGGTGACTCGTAAGACGTATATATACGACCAAAACAGTCAAAAGGTTAAAGTGCAAGCAATGTACTTCCCATTTCCAGGACTCAAAGTCTGGCTAACATACTTAAAATTTTAATGTTGTATCACTGTTAATTGTACCATGCACTTGTAACACTGTTATTTATGTGCTACATCACAACTATAAATCTTATTAACTATGAAACTTTTTGTTACCTCACAATAGCCAGCCACCTGGCCAGCCAGTCGGCCAGTCACCCGGCCAGTCACCCGGCCAGTCAGTCAGCCACCTGGCCAGTCAGTCAGTCAGCCAGGCACCCAGCCAGCCAGCCAACCAATCAACCAGCCAGCCAGCCAGCTGGCCAGCCAGCCAGCCAGCCAGCCAGCCACCTGGCCAGCCAGCCAGCCACCCGGCCAGCTTAGGGCATAGGTTATAGGACATTCTGGCAGGATGACACTACCAGTGGTATCAAAATTGAAAGGATGTTGCACAAATGTTGCACATGGATTATTAACAAGGTTTTTGATATTTCCTCAACCACTTGTGGCCACATCCATCTCAAAGTCACTAAACTCGGGGTCAACATAACTTTCCTCATAAAAGGGGAGTGTTAATAGGACATGACATCAGTAAATCCCTGGTGTCTGCCCCAGTTTTTGCTCTAGCTGGTACTCAATTGAACTGGTGCTCCCAAAAGGTACTAAGTGGTCCCAGATTTTTTAATACTGTGCACACTGAGTGTTAACACCCATTCTATACTGACCAGCCATCTCAGGCCAATCATCCCAAATATGGAGGCAGGAAAAATAAAACACTGATCTATGTCTGGAGTGCTAGTGGTAAGAACGTAGATCTACGTTTGGACAGTTAAGGGGTTAAAAGCCTTAATATAGACATTTTCATTAATCCATCTATGATATTTTTTGTTCAAAATTATACAGGAAACATGCTACATAACATATAAACATCATACATACACCCACAGTAGAAAAACTGACATATATATGAGATATGGTAGCTGAGCAGCTTGTTGAAGTGATGGAAAGAACTACGTTTTTCTAAAGTCTAAAACCAAAGAAAATGTGTACACAATGAAATTACTGGTGGGTAACAGGAGAAAAATATTCCATTCATATGCCTTCACTTTAGCATCATTCATTCTAAAAATGGTGTGTTGCATGAGAAAGGGAGTGTTGCTATTTATTTATTCTACGGCACCAACCTGTACAACTTGTACACAATGTAAGAGTGTTTGCATTGTGGGGTAAAAGTTTCAGCAACTCATGTAAATGTAAGTGAATTAACCAAAAGTGGACACACATTAATATGTGTTCGTCTAACTGAGTGACTCCCCTTACACGTCTGTCTGTTTACATTCTCAGCGTCTCTCTCCTCTCTCATTTACTTGTTCTCTCTAGTTTACGATGGCATCTAAGGGTAGTTGTTAGAAATTATTAAACTCAGTGAACAAGGCATGTTGACAGTAATAATAATGATCATTCTGGGGAGCTTTAAATTTAAGTCGTATATTTCAAGTAGGTATGGTAGCAGGTGTGGGAGCTACCACACCTGACTCTACAATAATAACTCACCTCTCACCCTACATTAACCCTTTGAGGGTCGACAGGCCCTCTCCAAAACTTGTTCTCAGGGTCGGCCAAATTTAAAAAAAAAAAAAAATATTTTTTCTTATGAAAAGATAGAGAATCTTTTCCCGATCATAATGACACCAAAAGTATTAAATTTGATGGAAAACTTACGGAATTATGCTGTCGAGAAGTTAGCGGTCTTGACAATGTCTATGCATCGGCGATTTTGCCCACTTTGAGCCCTATTTTCGGCCAATTCCAATGTACTAGTTGACAAAAATCATAACTATTTCGCTAGAACTCCATTTTTTCCTATCGAATGAGTACAAGAAACCACCCATTTACCAATTTCAACTATCCAATAAAGTGGTCAGAATTTAGCAATTTTGCCAATTTCACACAAATTTCAAAAGATGCCAATTTCCGAATAGGGTCCAGAATAAGCAAAAAAGACATTCCTGGCACTAAAATAACAAGTTCTCTGTTCGTTAGTCACATCCCCAAGCCCCTCTTATATTTCTTTGATTTTCCACTTTGAATTTTTATTCTTGCAAAAAATAGAAGATTTACTGTTATGCAGACTACTGCATTAGTGTAGAAATGGTATAAATAATATCAGCGCACTTGTGAAAGAATATCAGACTCACCAGTTGACGTGTATTGGACGCCTGGCATGATTTGTTTACTTTTGAACTTTGATAAAAATAGAACATTTCTGGTACTTTGCGCTCAATTTCAAGGTACTTTTCATTGTAAAACCAGTCAAAATCATCTCAATTTCTGTAATATGTCTCCCATTCTATAAAATGAGACCAAGAAAACTAGAATACAACAATAAATACCATACAAAAATACAGTGCAAAGTCGTTGTTTTATTCCAAAAACACGGTCAAGGTTTTTTTTTTCTCATTACGCACTGTGTGCTGTAGGATTTTTTTATACTGCGCACACTGGCCACATAGACCCATTCTTTCATATGTAGGCCTACCAGCTTTCTCTCATTAGATTTGAGGGCGCTAGAATTTAGGCGTACTAGTACGTCAAAAACACTGGGTCGTAAGCCGTACTACTATTGACCAAAACCCTCAAGGGTTAAGACTACAAATATTTTAAGGGAAGTAATGAATGTACTGTATGTGTATTTTACTTCTTGTTTTTAATGCCTAGTTCTACTGTTAACTTAATAGATGATTGTGTAAACTTGTTATCTGGCATTGATATGCATTTCTTTCTTCTGTCTTTCAATAAACTGGCCATATCCTACCAAGGCAGGGTGGCCCAAAAAGAAAAACAAAGTTTCTCTTTTTAACTTCAGTAATGTTTACAGGAGAAGGGGTTACTAGCCCCTTGCTCCCGGCATGTTAGTCACCTTACAACATGCATGGCTTACAGAGGAAGAATCTGTTCCACTTCTCCATGGAGATAAGAGGAAATAAACAAGAACTAGTAAGAAAATAGAAGAAAACCCAGAGGGGTGTGTGTGTGTATATATGCTTGTACATGCATGTGTAGTGTGACCTAAATGTAAGTAGAAGTAAAAAGATGTACCTGAAATCTTTCATGTTTATGAGACGGAAAAGAAGACACCAACAATCTTACCATCTTGTAAAATAATTACAGGCTTCTGTTTTACACTCACTTGGCAGGACAGTAGTACCTCCCTGGGCAAGTTGCTGTCTACCAAACTACTATCTAACATACATGCATTTATA